GAGCTCTAGTCACAGTTTGTAATGGTTCCTAGAGCTCGTTTATGATGGTCTTTGAGGTCTGTCTGGCACGATTAGAGCCCATCGGCTCCGACCGGGTCTGGGCCCAAAAATTCTTGGACTCGATGGATTTTAGTCACGGTTTTTGATGGCCCCTGGGAAAAGGTACACATTTCTGCTCTATGTACTTCCACACTCCTTTTTTAATCGTGTTTCACAAAATATTTTCCATATCTATAACGAATTTATATTCTTACAAATAATACATAATGACTCCCATAGCCCATACATCACAAAGTGCACTATAATTTTTATTTTCCAATATTTCTGGTGCCATATAACTAATTAATCGAAAGAACAAAAAAAAATCATTATTTTATATATATATTGAATAAAATAAAATCTAAAACTTACAGTGGTGTACCACAATAATCATTAAAAAGTGAATCAGTAGAAGTAATACTTTGTTTTGAACTTAAACCAAAATCAGTAACCTTTAAAAATAATTTTCTATGGATTATTATAATAAAAAATCAAATAAATATACTCGAATATCAAATTCATCTGTTTTATTTGTTGGAGTATTTTTTAATAAAATATTTTCTAATTTAAGATCACGATGTACAATATCTATACAAGAGAAAATAATCAATAAAAAAAACAAAAAAACAAAAAAATAGTAAAATTGACTTAACTCATTTTATGAAGATAATGTAATGCACTTATTAATTTTGACATTATTTGTTTAACTGTTTCTTCAGGTAATGGACCAATATTTTTAACACATCCACCTAATTCACCACCTTCACATAATTCAACGACCAAATAAAGTTTCTAAAAAATAAATTACGAATTGATCGATTTTCAAAGTTTTTCCGAGTTTCTCTAAGAGTCAAGAAACAGGAGTAATTAATATGCAATTTATTTATCAATTGACAAAAAGGTTCAACATATTGGTAAGAGTTATTAGCACAATCCCCTGTGTGATTAAAATATACACCATGACGTACTATCCATTTCAAATTATAAAGTGCTTCAGTATTTATCTTGATAGGAAGATCATAGAGACCTGTAGTTTTTATCATTCACATGAATTCTTGATGGAGATTTTTGAAAAAGGTATTATAAGGCTATTTTCCTTCCGATCCAAACGGGCCAACATTTCCAGCTTATTCTATCCGAGAGTTATAAGGCTTTTCCTGAGACCCGCAAAAGTAGTTAGGTAGGAAATAATTCATCATGCTAGATGGAACGGTAATAGTTATTTTTGAACCTCAAAATAATCTGACACTGTCATCGCAATATTTCTGAAATTTCACAATCAACTTTCTTGTAACGATGGAGTCGACATTTTGAAAATATTGAGATAATAGTGTTAGATCATTTTGAACCTAAAAATAATTATCATCGTTCAATTCACCACTGTGAATTACCTCTATCTGGCTGCTTTTCCGGATGATTACAGATTAATGGACTGAAATTGGAGGTATCAGGAAACGTCTAGAACGAGCAAGAAATTTCGACCTCGTGTAGATCGAAAGAGCAGAATTTTTCTATCAATTAATCCTATTAAAAGTCTAAATCAAAAGGAAAATACCTTGAGAATATCGTTTTCGAAAATCTCCATAAAATCTGCGGGTAATGAACTAATTTTTTTCGAAATATAAAATTATATTTCCATTTTTTTGAAAATATGTAAGTGCAAGGTGTGATCGTGGGTTTCGCCGTCTGGTTCTCTGAAAAGTGGAAATATAATTTAAAATCTCAAAAAAAAAGTAATCTCTATTATTTTTGTCTAGTTAATATTTTCTCTCTTGTTTTTCTTTTTTGAATGATATTAACATTCAAAGACTTTGACAATATTAATATTTTTAATGAATCACTTACTTGAGTTGATTCTAAAACTTCATGAAGTTGAATAAGATTAGCATGATTAACTTCTGTTAATAATTTTACTTCATTATCAAGAATTGATGCTTTAGAAGTATTGCCATGCTATACATAAAAAAAAAAGAAAAAAGAAAAAGTTTCTTTTGAATAAAAATATTCAACAAGAAAACTAAATTAAATTACTTTTTTTATAATTGTTTTCATAGCATAAAATAAATCATTTTCTTTACTTTTAACACGAGATACAGTTCCAAATGAACCTTCACCTAATTTATTTAAAAATTCATATCGTGTTTCTATATTTCCATCATCATGAAGACGTATATGTGGTATCTGACGTATTGATACAGTTGAAAATTGTTTCTTCATTCCATTGGACATATTACAATAAATATCTTTGAAAATAACTTAAAAGAAAAAAAAAAACAAAAGAAAATTTCCATATTATAATAATTATTCGATAAAATCTGAACTCACATTGTCTTTGACGACAAACAACTACGATAATAATAATGGTTCGACGACTAAGACATACATTAACCTATACTAGATAAATAAAAAAATCAAAGAAACCTTAGATGTTCAAATAAATTCGAAATATATTATATATATTAAATTTGTTTCGTTTTTCTCTATGAAGAATAAAGAACAATTTTTTTATCGAAATAAAACTCAAGCATGTCATTACACTCTATGTATAGTAAATATAAGAGAGAAAAAAAAACTACGAATTCATGCTTGCTTATATATTTTGGTCTGCATACATTGGACAGCAAATAAATGTTAACAAAAACAGACACTTCTTTCAACAGTTTTTTTTTTCTACATAAAAAAAAAATAAAAAAAAAAATGACCTAAGATCCCTGATTTGGATAAATAAAGAGAGCATTGAATCCTTTAGTATGTTGAAAATGACATACATTTATTTGATGATACGCCATAATCAACACACACGAAAAAGAATATGTAGTTGGATATGTATAATGACATTGTAATTTTCTCTATGATAGATGAATGATCACAAAAAAAAAATTTTTTTCTTTAACATTTTACAATGAGATTTCGGCTTGTTTTTTTCATGATTAAACTCTTCTTAACATAAGTATTCAAAGCTTTTAATAAAGAAAATATTTTTTTTTTTATGCAAGAAAACAATGCATGAAAGAAAAAAAAAGATTTAATAGACACAATTAGTTATTTTGTTCAATTGAGAAGAAAAATATGAAACACTGGAGAGAGAGAGAGAGAGAGAGAATCTAGGGATTGGTTGACAAATCATATAAGAGAACTACTCGAATTTATTCAAAATATTAGATTCATCTATAATAAAATATTTTACACGTACTAGAACAGAAATATCTCGCATCCTATCGTAATTCATTCGAAAAGATTTTCGGAAAAAATAAATTACGAAAACAATTCTACCATGTTCAATTGAACTACGTACTTCTAAAATAAAGTTTATATAGGATAGCAATTGTTTGGAAAGAAAAAAATCTTTCACAATATCATCTTATGAAATTATGAATGGATACAGAATAGTTCAAAATAAAGTGCATGCAAATCTAATAACTTTTAATAGGACATACAACGGTCAAATTTAGTTGATATTAAACATTGTAAATCAATTATTTTTCATTTTCTATATTCAATAAATTGAACAAAAAAGTAATCGTCCAAATGAATGCATTTGACATGCAATACTGTGAACTTTCGCCGGAATCTACTAGTAAGGACGTCGTTTTCGGCTCGAAAACTACAGAAATTCGATGATTATAATTGGTGGTTAACGCTGTTTTGAATTGAAAAAATTCAACTATCGGATTGTTGTTCTCAAGTTCTTTTGCATTTTCAAAGTTTTCTGACACGAATCATTCGTATATAATTCCGAGAAAGGAAATTGAATTCATGAAAACTTATTTAATCATATAATCAAATGAACCTCAAACAAAACGCGACAACATAAAATTCGATCGTATTGTCATGTTCATGATTCATTCATTTTAAAAATAGTATCCATTATGAACTTCGCCATTAGCAAGTCAAAACAATTTATATAATGTACAGATTCGAAATTAGATTTATCTTTTCTCCGCTCATTGAGTAAAATCCGAGTCTGTACAGAATTGTCACTGTTATAAGACATGTTTTACTTTATCCTTAATTGATTATGTCTTGTACTTTATTTATGAAGACGATATATTATCAGCACAAAAAAAATGATATGCAATAGCATTATCTTTGAATATATATATACATCAACAAACGAGTCCAATAAAATCAATATTGTACTTTTTATTTGAAATCTGTATATTACCTTTTGTCATCGTTCGACTATGAATATCGTACAAAAAAGTATGTTTGAAAGTAGAAGTAACAACAAAAACAAATAAAATTCCATTTATACAGTAATTTTTTTGTTGTTATCGTTACGGTCTTTTGTTTCGTCGAAAATCCCATAAATGCCGATTCGTTATATAGTTATTCATCATTACATTATTTTTTGACACGCGACAACAAACCTAATAACAATGTACATGCAATCGAACAATCTTTGAGACAGAAGAAAAAGAAAGAAAAATATGCTAAAAGGCTTCATCGTAATAGTACTATTTTTCATTTCTATCTAAATCAGAACAACCATTTTAAATATTCTTTTTCAATTGTTGCTTGCCTTCGCCTTGTTTACTGATGTATTAAATCTATAGATGTCACTTTATCAATATATTATTAAATAATTAAGTAATATTTATTTATTTGAATATTTGAAAAATAAACTTTTATTAAAATTTTGATATAATAATAAAATGAATATTAATATATTTCTATTGGTAGTTAAATATGAATCAAAAATGACGACTAAAATTTGGTTGGCGTTTAATGTCTATGAAAAAAAAGTTTTTTTCTTCTCGTGTGACATAAAAATAAACTTGACGTTAAGATGAATACGGATCTTGAAGGTCTTTTGGAATTTCTTCTTTATATTGGTCAAGCAAAACGAACATTTCGTACGGGTTGGATAATACGTGGCGTCGAAAAAGTTGAAAGTGTTGCTGATCATATGTATCGAATGGCAGTTATGTCACTTTTATTACCAACAATATCTGAAGAATCAAAAGTTCGTTGTATGAAATTAGCACTTGTTCATGATTTAGCTGAATCAGTTGTTGGAGATTTAACTGAATTTGATGGTGTACCTAAAACAGAAAAACGTCGACGAGAAACTGAAGCAATGCTTTATTTAACAAGTTTATTACCAGCTGATGTTGGTAGAGAAATATTTTCATTATTTAATGAATATGCTGATCAAAAAACAATTGAAGCTAAACTTGTTAAAGATTTAGATATGTTTGATATGCTTTTACAAGGTAAACTTTTCAGATTGGTTTTTTTATTTTTAAATATTTAAATAAATATATTTTAGCTTATGAATATGAAAAACTTCAATCTGAAGGTGAATTTTTAGAAGATTTTTTTTCGGGTTCTGCACATAATATAAAAACAACAATAGTTCGACAATGGCTTAATCAATTAATTGAATGTCGATCATCTGGAAAACAATATCAATTACCATCAGATTCAAATCTTAATACAATGCTTAAACATATTCTTTATGATGATCAAGGTTTGCATTTTTATTAGATAAAAAATGTTTAATGATGTACAAAAAAAAAAAAAATAATTTATCATCGAAAATAACATATCAGAAGTTTTTTTTAATTTTTGATAGAAAGTCTTGAATTAATGAACACTATTACATGTAAAATTCTTTTTGACTATTCAAAATGAATAGTCAAAGTACGCAGTTATTGCATATCCACAATCATTATGAAATTTATGTTTTGCTTGTTCGTTAACTGTATTTTTCCACTAAATAGTGTCAAAGACGAACTTAAGCACAATGATATATATGAGATGTAGATATTGATATTTTTATAATTGACGTTTTCTTAAACTAAAAATTGTAGTATTTCTCTTATATACATATGTTTTTATAAATAGAAGAAAAAAAACGAAAGGCAATCAAGTGTATCGACCATGACAGAAGAGAAGAATCACATATAGAGATAACAGACGTAATCATTGAAAATGTTACACTTCATTTGAGTGATCTTGAGCCAACCCGAAAGAAAAAAAAACGTAAATTATCTTCTGAAATTTTCGAACTATTTCCCGTCTACTATCATGAACATATTAGTTTATAAATCTCAGGCAATAAATTCTAAATACTTGATGAACTCAAATGAATATACTTGTGATAATAGATTTGAAGTGGCTGACAAGTTCTAAAGTATAGCTTTGACATACTCTTGTAGTATACTGAAGTATGGAGTTTTCGCTTTTTCTTCTTTTGTCTTTAGAAAAATCTTTATTACATTTCATATCAAATAAGAATTTTACTGAGAAGTTTTTTTTGTCTTAAATATTATAGATAAATAATTATTGGACTTAGAATGATCGATAATTTAGAGAAAATCTCAATTTCAAAAATGACTTTTGTTTAGCATGACTATGCGCACACTGCATTTTTTTAACAGTTCAACAATAAAAAAGGCGGAGAAAAAAATGTTTGATGAAATTTAATCTGAGATATATCCTAAATTCTTATATTGAAATACATAATAGATTTATTCTAATACATAGGAACATTTTTATACAATTTTTCATCGTCTGATCTTCGTTCAAAATCACATCGTCTTATATCAAATAAAAATAAACTCGATAGATCAACATCATCATCTATAGATACAACTCAACGTCTGACAAATCTTGTCAAAGGCTTAAAACATCATTATAATTAATCTTATTTTTCTTTTTTTGTTTCGTTATGAACAGTTTCAACAGAAAAAAACAGAAACAACACTTATATATTCATTAGAATTTAGAAATGCTTCTTCTTTATATTGGTTTGGCAGATATTGACATAATATAGTCAATGCCATAATTATATTCATATATTGTTTTATTGTACAGTATTCATTTCTTTTATTGCTATTTTGTGTATAATAAATAAATAAATAAATAAATAAATATATTTGTTTTTAATTTGAATTATTTTAGATTGAAATTATTTGTTTTAATAAGAATCAAAAAAGAAAATCTATTAATTTTTATTTATTTGAATGTATATATCAATCGATTTTTTTTGATAATATTTATTCGATGAATCAATCTTCTAATAGTCGAAATAAACAAAATCAATATGAAAAATATTCAACATTATTTAATGATGAAAATAATCATTCAATTAATAATGGTACAGCATCATCTTTACAATCATTTGTAGACGATATACCATTTGAATTTAATCCAAAATATCGAACTATTATTGTTGTAAGTTTTAAGAAAATTTTCTTTTTTAAATCAAATGAAATTTTTCGTTTTTTTAAGCCTAATATAAATATTCCTGAATATGATATAACTAAAATTCGTAATATTCTTGCTAAACCGGTAATATTTAAATATAGAAAATAAAATTTGTAAATTTTTTTTTTATTGTAATTTAGATCGATTTTGCATTAGAAAATAAAGTTTTATTAGAAGCTTTAGAAGATTTACAACGTAAAAAGAAAGAAATTCAAGATGATACTTTACGTCAACAATCAACATCACATTCGGCAGCAGGTGCAACAAAGTAAATAAATATAACAAGATCAGCCATTAAAAAAATGGGTCTCTTTATAGTAAACACTCTTGAGAAACCCTTTCAAAATTGTACACTTTAAGGAGGCTAGATCTTTTCTAAAAGCAGTAACTTTCAAAGACAACATTTTGACGACTTTTTTTTCTGCATGTTTCAATTTTTGGATCATTGGTTTTGTTCGTGTCAACCTATTCTAGTTAATGACCTTAACAAATTTAATTGAATGAGTTAAAATCAGGACTATTAGAGGGTCAATGGCCTTTGTCGATAAACGATGAAAAATTCTCTCGACATCATATTTGTGTTAAATGATAAATGTGTGGCATCGACCGGTCTTGTTCAGCTAAGCCAATCATTTCCGAAGACCTTTTTCCTGTATTTTATTGCTTTAGAAAGCACCTCTTTGGTATATAGGGCATGATTGAAGACTCTTGATGGCGAGACTTTTCTTGAACAAACGTCTAGTGAGACCATAGCTTTTTGAGAAAATTTTCTTTCATCGATATGAAACATCCGCTCGTCAGAAAAACAAGATCTTTATTGTTTCTTCTTTCCAGAAATTCGTTCGAATTCAATCAGCAAAATTTTTTCTTTTGCTTTGAATTGGTGTCATTAAGTTTTTATAGGGCTGACAATCAAGGTCGTCTCGAAGAATTCGTTGAATACTTACTCGAGATATACCTAATTCAAGAGCAACTTTTCTGCTTGAAATCTTCTGATGATGCTGACAAATTGATAGATGCAATCTCATCGATCATTTTGTGCTATCGTTAAATCAAGTATACAATTTAAATGACGAAATATCTTCGTCGAATATTCACTATTCTGCTATTTCAAAAGTACTATTTTCTGTAAATCTATAATTTTCATTATTGAAATTTGCTTTCGCACAAAAAATGCAATGGAAAGAAAACATAAAATAGTGTCAAGAGAATTTACCAACTTTTATCGACAAAGATCATTGATCACCTATTGATCTTGATCTTAAACTCATTCGATTATTGTATTTGGAATGAATTTGTTAAGATCATTAGCTAGAAAAGGTTGATATCAAGAAGAAATAATGATTCAACAATTGATGTGTGTAGTAAAATAAAATTCTTCAAAAACGTTATCTTTGAACATTGTGCTTAGAATTGAACGAAAAATCTTTTTCTATACCGAATTATATAAGATATATGGACAAAATACAGAGAGTTTCATTCTTTATGGGTCACTTATTGTCTTTAATTTAGTTGTCAAACAACAAATTCAATATCAATTTCATCAAATACACTGACGCAAAATATTCCGTTTCCTGTAGTTCTTCCACCGGTACCTCCACCAACGCATATATCGAACTCTCAATCTACGCTGCATTTACCGATTCCTGTCACATCATTTCCAGTAACACCTGTTCCTCCTCCTCCTCCTCCACCTCCAACAACAAAGCCTCCTATACAACCATCATATCGTCTACCTTCTGTACGTGATATATATTGGCCAACCGGTAATCAACAACAAAATATTGTTCCTATAAGTGGTCCATCGACATTAACATCGAATGCATTACATTTACCAACACCAATTCGTTCAACAAATTCATCGCCTAATTCAGTCAAAGCAAATAATCAGTCATTTAATAACTGTGATTCAGCAGCTGCTAATGATTTAGCTGCTACATTTGATGGAACATTAAGTTCTGATGATCCTTTTCATGATGCTGAACTTAAATCATTGAATGATGTTGCTGAATTAAGACATTTATATTCAGCTATTGGCTCGGCTAATACTGTTCGACGATAAATTACATCTAAGTTTTTTTTTCTCTTCGTTTTTTTTATTGTTTAAATATAACTAATAAAATTTGTGAGAGAATCATATTTGGCTAATGAAATTTTGTTTCTTTAATGCATAAGACTCAGTTCTATCAAAAATAACTCTTTTTTTTTTACATAGTACAACAATTGAAATATGAGTCAAATATACAGTAACAAGATATTTAGCTATTTATTCTTCATACTGATGCACTTTAATGTATATTTTACTTAGCAGATATTATTAAGATGAGATCTTTCTTTTACGAATACATTCACATTCTATAGATCAGAAATGAAACTGGTCACGAGCTGGTACGGTTCGGTCTGACCTTTTCGGACTGGTACCATTACCGAGTGCCAAAGACTCAGACCGATTCTATCTCTGTAATAGACATCAGTGATGAAATATGAAGCGTTTCAGATATTCTCTGATCATATTCCAATCGTTATTTCTGTTCACTGTAACTTTTTTTTTTAACTTTTGTATTTTCAACATCATTCTACGGCCTATCCTCCGTTGGTAAACAGAATATTTGAAGACATCTGAGAGTATAGTGATGCATTATAATATGAATTTTTGTAAAAAAAAACTAGTATATTTACGATATTTTGAATCCTTGATTTCGACTATGTCTTTGAGTACTCTATTCAATGTTATTACTGCTCTTGATGACCAGTATTTTAATCAGATTTTCTCTTCCGAAGGGGCGAACATCTATTTTTGAGAGCTCAGACACATCGAACATGGCAGAATCACAAACTACGAGAGGATCAATCCTATCTTTAGAAGGTTACCAGTCCCTCGGCCTCGACGCTAGACATAACACTGTGGATAACATAAACTGAAAAAAAAGTGCTAGAATTGATCAGAATCAAGAATTTTGTATATCATAAATATAGTAGCTTCGACATAGAAGTTCAGCGATCTCTTGAGATATTCATTCAACCCTACATTACAGAGACGATGGTGTAAACTGTTGACGACCAGTCGAAAATCATTTCTCACAAGTATGAATTGGATAGTGGATATATTTGCATAAAGAAATGAGCTCACCATCACCATATAAAGTAAAATATTTAGAGTTCATATTTTATGATATTATAACTATAATTAAGCTTACAATTTTTCCAAGTCACTATTTCAAGTATTAAGACAAGATTTGATTTTAATATTGATATTTCAGCTAAACTATCGATGAAAATCATAATCATCTTCTCAGATAATTTTCTGTAATTAATACTTTCGAAATATTGTCATTATCAGATCTCTATGGAATACACTCGTTTTCAATCTTTTCTATAGACAGAATGTCTGAATGGAGCAAAAAAATGATCAAAACCTCATATAGTTAAATAAAATTATTTCATTATTAATTTATAACATTCAGAAATTGACTCTTGAAATCTTATAAGTTTTCTTTAATAATGTATTGATTCGAATTATTCAAGATTCTATCGAATTTAAGCTACATTAAATATCAACAGAGACACTCACAAACAAAGAATATGATCATTGTAGTTTCTCGTTTGTTACATTAGATGATTATTTCGTAAGAATATTATTTTGTAAACACTGCTAAGTCTTATCAAGACTGTTTATTAAACAGAAAGTTTTATTTTTAAGTACTTCGATGAAAACAATGGGAAATAATAAGACTACCTTTCTCTATACACCATTAATTCGAGTCAGAACGTGAAATAAAACAAAATTTTGTGTGACCGATATTGTAACTTAAAATACTATTTTCGAATATTCTACAACACAATTAAGTCTGTTTTCATATTTGAACTAAGAACATTACTGGATAATACACATCCATTTCCTATTGAACACTATTATCAGTATCAAATATTCCAATATTGATATCCAGTATGCTGATTCAATGCTAGGCAAATGTACTGCTCGTCTAGAGCATCTAAGAAATTTACTTTTCCATCATGAGCACGAGCTCTATCGGCAGACAAATCAATTCCATCATATTCGGTATCAAACATAAATGCTCAATGATATTTTTTTCGAATCGGATCAGAAGATTAGACTTCATTTGCTCCATTTTAATAGTTCCAAATAATATTACATCTTGTATATTGATTATTGCATTATCACTCATGGCAGTACATCTCATTTATTCATTGATTGTTTGCTCATACTCAACGCATATAAGTTGGTTGCAAAAATAGCCAAGACACAATGCATATCAAAGAGAGGATCCACGTTCTTATTTGTCAGCATATATAATAGTGCATTAAGATCTGCTGCTGTACAATAGGCTTATTTGTCGTTTAATTCAATATTTATTTGGGGATAGCAATAATACAAACAAAAAATAGAACGTTTCAAAAAAAAAATTCTGTTCGAAATGCAGAAATAAATAAAACAAATCCTTGCTCTAGAGATCGATTATCTTAAAAAAAAGAACTGTTTTCAGCTTCAAAAGAGGTGCACTAACAAAATTTTTATGATGAGTTTCATAAGAACAGAATGAATTGTCAATTTATTTTGATCACCATATAGCAGACATAGTTTCCACCACACCGACACCATTGTCGATCTGATATGTATGACCAAGATATTCAATTGTTCCACTATAAGTTCCATATGGTTGAACAAAGTCAATATTAATGAGCAACAAATGTTCATGTTCTTCGTAAATTCCCCACGGTTGAAAAGTCAGATGAACTATTGGACTATTTGTAGTATCGATGGATGAATCGAAATGCGAAGGTTGACTTGATAATTGAAAGATAACTTTATCGACAGTATAAACACGATTTCCGATCCTGTGGGCATGAAAAATTGTCAAATATTTTTCTATTTTCGATATGACTTACCAAATAGCATTTTCCATCGAAATACCATTATTATCATTGTAAAGTTCATCGGAAAGATTGATACCAATTCTTACCAATTGGCCGTTGACAGAATCTATTCCATCTACTGATAATGAAGCCCTATATTAATTGAATGAACAATATTCAAGAGACAAATTCATTAAAAAGGAAAATACCATTTCCACTTAGTTGTATGCTCGAAAAAGCCTAATGTCCAATCTCCACTACCGAGACCATCGATCAATTGTTGATTTTGATTACCAATTTTTAGTGTTCCTTGAACAGGTCGGGCGGCGATTTTGTGAGTATAAGCTGGACGATATTGTTGTATTGGATATAATAGAACCATTGAATCGTCGGTTTCTTGAGAAAATTGCATTTTACAATTCAATAATAATTGAACTCCACCATTGACTGGAACAATTGCTTCAATTTGGAATGCTTTCTCGATAGAATTATAGCATAGACGAATATATTCAGTATTCGATTGACGATAGTGAGTACAACCATTGATTGATGATTTAGCTTTTTCTTTAATGGCTGTTGCTAGAATTGATTTTGATGAATATTTATAGATTTGATTGGCATTTGTCCGATCAATAACATAGAGAAAAGCATTGGCTTCATAATTGATATTGACAACATTAATGGCAATGAAATATTTTGGTGTAGAAATCGATTTGAAATCCCAATTTTTCAATGAAAAAAAGTTGACCAAAAATGGTGATACCCATGAATAATCAACAACATAAAATGGTTTTTTGTAACGACCATAATCCTTAGGTGATGAAGGAGGTGTATCTCGAATAGGACCTAGATTATTTGGTTTCCCAGAACTGAAGACTAGGGCCGTTGTAGATAGACCAAAGTGATCTAAGACAATAAAACCTATTAGTAGAGACAATACAATTGACTATTCTTACCAATAATCAGTAGTAGTAACAAGACAATAACAATAAGAAGATTCTTCATGACTTGTATCCAATGACAAATCTATAAAAATACATATTATCGATTCCTTTTTAAACTAATGGTGATGTTCAGATTAGGAGATGATGTAACAGTATAAACTTAACTTGCAGTTGATATAAAAAACTTTTCCAGCCAAGTAAATATCATAGAATACTACACTACAGAGACTGACAGCACAATAAAAAAATGCGAGAGAAAAGATTGCGGAACAAGTAGGATTGAAAACGTGTTTTGACAGTCAGTAGGAAACGAAAAAGGGTTATCATTTATTGCACTATCATAGCAGTCTATTTTCTAAGATGAAAAATCCGATCCTTGAAACTTAACAGAAAATCTCTGCCTTACAATGATAATCAACAATAAACTTAATCTAAATAGATTACATTACTTTACTTTTTCAAAGTAAAATAAAGATAAAGTGCTATTCGTATTCTATACGTAAAGAAAAATGAAGCCAATTACTAATTTTGTCTGTAGAAAAAATACAGACATACCTATCAGACAAAAAAAAATTTTCTTTGCTTTATATATGATTGGAAATATGTACAAATACCTATGACACATTTGATTAATAGGCTCCTATTCTCTATAATACATGAGAAAAATCACACGTACGTGACTCAAACAAAAATAGCTTTTTGTTCTATATCTGAATGAAATTATGCGCAATTGCATATGACAAATTTAATCGATAGACGTCTCTCTTCTATTCGAACTATGAAAAAATACACGTAGACAACGGAGATAAACTACATTTTATTTTTTTGCTATATTTGACGACAATAAGAATAGTTACCTGTAAAAGATTGGGTTGAAAGGGTCTTCTCGTTTTTTTTATATTTTCTACATGTGAAAAAATGTAGCAATGTGAATTATTCATAAGAAAAAAATTGTTTTTATTCATATACAATAAAGTGAATGCAGTTATCTACTAGCTATTCTATTGAAAGACTCTTCTTTTTTCGATTATCTCTTTCTGTGAAATGCATCGACAAGATGAAATAGAGAGAAAATGTTTTGTTTTCAGCAGAATAACGAAGTTAGAGATGATTGATTAGATGGAAATGCTTTTCAACTTTTTCCTACTGTCTCTATATAAAACACAGCAGAGAATAAAGAATACAAAGAATTTGTGTTTTTCGTACATATGTTATTAATTACGTAATTAAATGATATGCTTTTTTGTAGGCTCTCGGTTTAAATAATGTCACGAGTGCAGAAAATCATAGAATAAGATCTACTTTTGTATTCTTTTCGAAAGAATAACACGATTAGATTGGATGAATTTGATCGATCAGCTGTTCTGTTTTTTTGCTTCGTCTTTCTCGATGTTCAATATGGACAAGTGATTGTGGTGAGGCGTGAAAGTGATTTTTTTACACACATCTGATTTCCACGCATTGAACTTGGATGCATTTGATTGAAAGATTTTATCATCGTTGCGGACTTTCGGTAAAAATTATAGAAAGCGCACAGAGACATTGATTAAAGTATTTGGTGATTCAGAAGATATGCATAGATCAATTTGTATTCTCGAATTTTGTTCATATTTAGTCAAGCATTTTGAGCACGTTTTTTTTTGTGAATGAGGCAACCTGAAATTGCGTTTTGGTTATTTCATATGTTTATTTTTGTTTTTTGTTTTTTGGAAGCAGAATCAATTATATAGAGATATGATGAAAATTAGACACGTTAATTATCCCAAAACATCGCGTACTGTAGAGAGTTCCGGGAAACATCTTTCGGTACAAAAAAAGTTTCCGAAATGCTTGATTCCATATGAACAATACTTGAAAATACAGGGTATCTAAAAATGTTTTTCCCCAGGGGGGGGGGGGGGCTAACGCGTTGATTTCAAATAGCATCCATAACAAATTGTATATGAAACTGCAGTGCGTCGAAAACAGAATTTATCAGTATATGACAGCTTTTCAGTGTCGAATTCTCGAAATTTCCTAAATTCGACATTGAAAAGCTGTCATATTCTTCATTATTTAGTATTGACAAATCCCATTTTTGACGCGCTTTAATTTGGTGTAAAATCTGTTATGGATGCCAGAGGTCCAATCAGGTCACGTTTTCGAAGTGTGTGCCACCTGTCAACTTTCTCAAGCGAATAAAATAATGATAACAAACTAGAAACCAGAGGTCCGAAGAGAGCACTAGGGCTACTATCCTATCCGGGCTTCATCTGCTTGTCATAGGCATGAGCCACGGTTTTTAGACCAGTGTAAGTGACAGGTCAGCAACCTTCTTGAACCTGTGATTGACACTGGTCTGAAAATTGCGGCCTGTACCTATGACAGGCAGATCAGGCTCGGGTAGGATAGTAGCCTTAGTGCCTTCTTTGGATCTCTGGTTTCTAGTCTGTCATCATTATTTTATTCGCTTGAAAAAGTTGACAGGTCGTACAGACCTTCAAAACGTAGCCTGGTTGGATCTCTGATGGATGCTATTTGAAATCAACGTGTTACCCCTCGGGAAAAACGTTTTTAGGCATTCTGTACTTTCTGTTACTGAAGAAAATCTGAACAATAACAAGATATGACGAAGCAAAAGAAAGTGTGCCTCTTCTCTATGTCATCGCCATACTTCATTCCTTCACTATGATGATACCTTTACGCAGATTTTGGTCATAATCATGTCTTGTTTTCACCATTTACTTCTCAAGAAGTACAGAAGAAAGACCACTACTTGATATGTTATTGCATAACTACACGTGTTGGTGACACTATAAATATCGTAAGTATATTGACACTTTCTTTTCAGTTCAACAATGTCAGTATCAAAACTTGAATCACTTCCTAACGAAATACTCATCGATCTTTTGGAGAAATATATCAATGCAGTAGATGTGTTCGTTGTTTTTTTTAATCAATTAAATAGTCGCTTCAATGCTCTTATTGATCAATGTCAACAATTTCATTTCGATTTTACTAGTATTCGTAAGAAAGATTTCCAGATTTGTGTTAATCGTCTACCAAATTACTTTGATAAGATCAAAGGTCTAACTTTATCTGAATGTGATACGCCCGGACAGATTAATATCTTTTTATCCCTGTTTCCATCATTGAACAAATTCAATGAACTTCGTGAATTTCACTTAGATTTTGATGTCATAGCTGTTGACAAATATCAAATTAATGAAGTTCTTCACTCGTTATCAAATTCGAATCTTTGTACTCTATCGATCAAAGGAACACATATATCGGTGTCTAGCATATTGAATTCTATCAATACAATCATTTTGGCTTTGCCAACACTCAAACGACTTATTCTCGATACCAATTTTTACACAGCACTACGGGATTTTGATAAATCGACTTTCTTTAATATTGAACATTTGATTATTGCGGGACATGGCTGTACATGGAACGAACTGCAGCATATATCTCGATGTTCTCCTCGTCTTAAATATTTGAACGTACGAGTTACAAACAAGTTTTCGAATACTTTTTCATCAACAGTCGATATTCCACCATTAACAAAACTTTATACGGTCATTTTGCATTTTATTGATAGATATACTGAAGTAACATGGAATCAATTGGTAGATTACTTTCGTATTATGCCAAATTTGCATCATCTGGAAGTCATCAATTCACATAATAGATTTTTCAATGCAAATGATTGGCAAATATTGTTTGAGATATCATTGTCATTATTAAAACGTTTTACTTTGAAAATAAGTGCAGCTCGTCTATCACAACATGGTCTTGATAGTATTCATACTACATTGATATCTTTTCAAACTCCATTTTGGATTGAAAAGAAAAACTTCAATATCTTCATTATGATGTGTAAATCTTTCGGAAATATTATTTATTACTATCAACCAATTGATCCTCAACAACATCGATTTGATATTGACTTCAAATCAGAGATTCAGTCAGGAACTATTCAATTTTGGACAGTTCCTGAACGTTCCATTAGTGATAATTGCTTTCTATTGGATAAAATTACTAGTTTACGTCTTTCTGCCAAGGATCCTCTGCCACCAAGTCAATATTACTTCGAAAATGTCAAATATCTTAAAGTAGATCATATTAATTTATCTTTGTTCAAATGGATTACGACACATATTCATCTTTCAAAAATAAAAAAACTGATAATTCTAGAACCAGAAACGAAATGCCGTCTAGTTACTTCGCTTATAGCACTTATTGAAAATATCTCCTCACTTCAAATCAATTTTAATCAGTTAATTCATCAACAGTATGATCTTATCAAAACGAAGAATAACATTAAACGGCTGAATATTTCTTTTGGTCTTTTTTCTAATCAACAAATATTTCGAAAAAAAGATATTTGTATTATTGCAGATCTCTTTCCGTTGATTGAACATTTAATAATTGATACGATCGATTTTGAAAATGTACCATTCTTGTACATTTGCTTACCACATCTTCATAGTCTTACTTTCAAACTTATCGATCTTACCTTCCCAAGATTCGATAGCTTTAAAGAACGACAATGGGATAATCGATTACGAGATATGATGAGACTTACATTTAAACGTACAGAAGAATGGTTAACAATCTGGATTGATGAAGTAGCTTTTCAAGAATCTAACTGGTCATCTTTTCAATTGAAATCTCAGAGCAACAAATGTTGTACTTCTTGAATAACTACTGTATGATCATTCTTGTATTGAATTTAAATAAAAAATTAATTTTCTTAGGATGATTCTTGATTGAAATTTATGAAATTATAAATGAATAATATTCGAAGATTTTCTTCAACTGAAAAGTTGCTTGTTCAAATCGAAGTTGCTCTCATAAAGCATTATTCAAATTATGAATCGAATAAACTTCATTTGTAATTCGAACCGTGCCGTATTTCATTTGAAATTTGGTTTCAATTGAACCAAGTTTTTGCGTTCTGTATATCTGCAAACAGGAAAAACAAAGCAAATTTTACAATAAATTTAAAAAAAAAAAAGAACAAAATTGATGAGTTAAAAAAAAATACTTTCTGAAGAAGGATAAATAATCGACTGT